GGGCGAGTGGGCGCGATCTCAGCTCACTGCAAGCTCGGCCTCCCGGGTTTCCGCCATTCTCCTGCCTCAGCCTCCCGAGTAGCTGGGCTACAGCGCCCGCGACCTCGCCCCGGCTAGGTTTGTGCTAGTGTTTTTGAGTACGCGGAGACGCAGGGTGCTTCCTCAAGTGTTAGCCAGGATGGTGGCGCGCGATCTCTGTGACCGTGGTGATGTCCGCCTGTCTCGGCCTCCCAAAGTGCTGGGATTACAGGCTTGAGCCACCGCGCCCGGCTTTTTTTTTTTTTTTTAAACGTATTTTTTCTAATATTTTTACACTGAAATATAAAGATACTTTTTTTACTCTAAGAAAATTCTTGTTATAATTGCTTCTCCCTAAAATGATGTTGCAAAAAGGTATTGATTAGCGAGACATTTAATCAGAATAATGTTTATTTGGCCAGGCGCAGTGGCTCATGCCTGTAATCCTAGCACTTTGGGAGGCCAAGGTGTGTGGATCACGAGGTCAGGAGTTCGAGATCATCATGGACAACATGGTAAACCCTGTTTCTATTAAAGATACAAAAAATTAGCTGGGCATGGTGGTGCGCACCTGTAATCCCAGCTACTTGGGAGGCTGGGGCAAGAGAATCGCTTGAACCAGGGAGGCAGTTACAGTGAGTCGAGATCGCGCCATTGCACTCCAGCCTGGGTGACAGGGTGAGACTCAGTCTCAAAAAAAAAAAAAAAAGAAGAATGTTTACCCAGATTCACAATTAAAAATTTAGTTAACAGATACTATTTTCATACTGTTAACCTTTTCCCTCTATGAATTAAATCAAAATCAAAACAAACAAAAAACATTGTTGTCTGTTACTAGTTATTTATCTGGAAATCGCCAGTATATAACCACAAGAATAAACAAGTCACAAATTAACATAAATGGGAAATTTCAGAAACTGCCAAATGGGCATAGTTTGAAAGCTTATCCTTGTACTCCAGAGCAAAAATCACAAACTCCAGGAAGCAAACTGCAAACATGTTTTGTTTAGCACATAGGGAGTTTTGTAAAAATTCGAATCTATTGCCAACATGTACGAGTTTGAAGACTTTATGTAAAAACTCAAACTCTCAGCCGAGCGCGGTGGCTCACACCTGTATTCCCAGCACTTTGGGAGGCCAAGGCGGGCGGATCGCCTGAGGTCAGGAGTTCGAGACCAGCCTGACCAACATGGCAAAAACCCATCTCTACTGAAAATACAAAAATAGCTGGCCGTGGTAGCAGCTGCCTGTAATCCCAGCTACTTGGGAGGCTGAGCTGGAAGAATTTCTTGAACCTGGGAAGCAGAGGTTGCAGTGAGTCGACATAGTGCCATTGCACTCCAACCTGGGCGACAAGAGCAAAACTCCGTCTCAAAAAAAAAAAAAAAAAAAATTCAAACTCTCTTTCTCTTGAAAACCTTCTGATGCTAATAATAAGGGCAGCATGGTGGGTCCCACCCCATCTCCCAACCCTTTTCCTATCAGGCACAATGGCTTAAACTAAGTATCAAGCTGACACTTTAAGTGGGACAAGTATTCTCTCTCCTACCCAGTACTCAATCAACTCATGTGTTACCCGCCAGGCCTTGGAGGCTCTGAGTCTCGTAGCCCCCTGCTTTACAGTAATTAAATTCAGTTAAGGAACTTAAAATAAGAAGCTGTTTTTCCCATAAATACAATTGTTCTTAAATTGTAGACTGAAATAAAGTGTCAATATGTCCTGTTGTCTCACCAGGAGTACCATGACCCTCTGGTCCTCTGCCAGCTGAATAAATTTGCAACCACAGCTTTAAACAAAAGGACTTAAAATGTCATTATGAACACTGATGACAAAATAAGAGGTTAATTCTATTTTTTTTCACTCACCTGTCCAATTCCAAGGAAAATTGGTGACGGGAAACTACAAAGAAGAACAACAAATCAGTTGAGCAAATATAAAAATCTGAAGATAGTACATAATAAATAATGACAAGTTATTAAAAAGTCTGAGAAAATGAAAATGGATCAAATGGTTCACTTTTCATTTAATTCTTTTTTTTTTTTTTTTTCTTTTTAAGACAGTGTCTTGCTCTGTTGCCCAGGCTGGAATGCAGTGGTGTAAACATGGCTCATTGGAGTCTCAACCTTCTGGGCTCAGAAGATGCTCCCACCTCAGCTTCCTGTCACCCAGGCTGGAGTGCAGTGGTGTGGTGGCTCAAGCCATCCTTCCACCTCCGCCTCCCTAGTAGCTGGGACCACAGAGGCGTGACACCACACCCAGCTAAACATTACATACATACATATATATATAATATATATATATTATGCGCCATCTCTCTCTCTATATATATATATATATATATATCAGTGTGTGTGTATGTGTGTGTGTGTATATATATATATATAGAGAGAGAGAGAGAGATGGAGTCTCACTCTGTCACCCAAGCCGGAGTGCAGTGGCACGATCTCAGCTCACTGTGACCTCCGCCTCCCAGGTTCAAGCGATTCTCCTGCCTCAGCTTCCCGAGTAGCTGGGACTACAGGCGTGCACTACCACGCCCAGTTAATTTTCGTAATTTTTAGTAGAAACAGAGTTTCACCATGTTGGCCAGGCTGGTCTCAAACTCTTGACCTCAAATGATCTGCCCGCCTCGGCCTCCCAAAGGGCTGGGATTATAGGCAGGAGCCACCGTGCCCAGCTAAACATGATATATTTTTAATTTACTTCAAAATACTCTGGGGGGCGATGGTGGAGTGAGTGGGAGAGGGATACTAATGCAGCAAGGTTGTGGACACTGGGTAAGGGCTACATAGTGATTCATTATATTAGTTTTAAAGGATAATATGCCCAGGAACAAATCTAATCAAAGATTTGCAAGAAAGGCATCTGTATAAAAAAGTATACACCAATATTCTCAAAATTAAAGATCTAAATAAAGGTCATGGGTTGGAAACTCGATATTGTAGTGAGGTCCATTATCCCCGAACTTATTTATAGAATCAGTGCAATCTCAGCAGAAATATCAGCAGATATTTTGTGGAAACTGACAATCTGATCCTAAAGCTGAATGAAAAGAAAGGCAAAGAGCACAAACATATCACCCAAGACAATCCTGAAGATAAACGAAGTCAGAGGAATGACTCTAATGGATGTCAGGATTCATTTTCAAATTACAATAAATGAGACTGTGTGGTATTTACACAAAGATAAACCAATGGGACAATGGAAAAGAACACAGGTCAAGACAGGGACACGCATGTACAGACACCTGATTTATGACAATTTATGACATAGATGACGCAGCAGAGCAGTGGGGAAAAGACGATCTTTTAGCAAACGGCACTGGGTGATTTGCATGCAGACTCCTGACCCCTACCTCACATCATATTTAACAAGGCAGGACCGCACCTGCACTGGCTCAACCCTTCACTGGCTCCCAGTCATTTCTCAGGCTACTCACAAAGCTGGAATATCCCACAAAACTCAGCCCTCCATCTGTATGTCCGAAGGGAAACTCACCTATCTCAGACAGGCTAAGAAGAGAATAAAGAACAAACCTACCTTATCAGAGAAAACAGAATGAATGGCTGGACAGTACCACCATGCAAATAAAATTAATTCTAGTCAGTGCTGGGTCATGCCACCCATATACTCCCTTCCACACGGAAGCAACCATTCCACAGCTGGGTCCTCTGCTGCAGAAAGCTGCCTGATAGTAGCATGTCCACTCCCTGAGCATGGCCTGCATTTTAACTGTTGGTCTCTGCAGGAGTATAACAGCTACACCCCTGCCCCAATTCAGGACAGCTCTACAGAGCCAGTACCACTCAAGAGTCCCTGGGATGAGGCCTTTGCTGTGACTGCCTCAAAGCCCGACTTCTCCCTCTGCCTGATTCTGCTTCCTAGCATCACTTCCCAACATACTTCCTACGCCTCTGAGAATACAACCAGTAACATGAAGCAAAATTACAAGGCAACAATATAAACAAACAGTAAAACAACAACAAAAAGGGTCACCTGGCTGGGAGCGGTGGCTCATGCCTATAATCTCAACACTTTGGGAAGCCGAGGCAAGATCACCTGAGGTGAGGAGTTCGAGACCAGCCTCGTCAACATGGTGAAACCCTATCTCTACTAAAAAACAAAAAACTAGCCAGGCGTGGTGGCGGGCACCTGTAGTCCCAACTACTCGGAAGGTTGAAGCATGAGAATCACTTGAACCCAGGAGGCAGAGGTTGCAGTGAGCCGAGATCGTGCCACTGCCCTCCAGCCTGGGCGACAGAGCGAGGCTCTGTCTCCAAAAAAATAAATAAATTGAAAAAAATAAACAAACAGTAAAACAACAACAAAAAGGCTCACCGAAGATACGTCACAGAGCCCAGCCTAGAAGAACATTTAAGGCATGGAAGAGAAGGAAGTCTTGCTAATTGCTTCAGGCCATAGAACATCTCAGAAAAAATAAAACCAATAAAACAAAAGCTCAACGGTGAATTGATATGACAGTCAAAGGAGATTAAAAGAAAGCATTGCAGACCTAAGGAAACCAACTAAGACCAAACAACCTAACTGCCACATAAGGAAATACGTTTAAAACAACCAGGAGCTACAAGGCGACTGCTGCAAATGCAGTTACCAACACCTGAGGCGATCGTAGTGCACACAGACGAAAACAACCCTAAAAGATAAATCGATCTGGAAGACAGAAAACCACCACCATACAGGGCTAGTTACTAGACCTGGAGTTTAGAAGACTAGATTCCATAACTTTACATTGAATTCTATTCTATCATTTAAGTTGAACCACCTTACTGAGTTATTAAACTACTCAATAGGCCAGATGTGGTGGCTCACGCCTGTAATCCCAGCACTTTGGGAGGCCAAGGCGGGTGGATCACCTGAGGTCAGGAGTTTGAGACCAGCCTGGACAACATGGTGAAACCCCATCTCTACTAAAAAATACAAAAATTAGCCAGATGTGGTGGCACACACCTGTAATCCCAGTTACTTGGGAGGCTGAGGAAGGAGAATCGCTTGAACCTGGGAGGCAGAGGCTGCAGTGACCTGAGATCATGCCACGGCACTCCAGCCTGGGTGACAGAGCAAGACGCTGTCTTAAAAAAAAAAAAAAAAAAAAAATTGAAACACTGGGTCTAAAAGAAACTCAATGACTTTAGCTTTTTAATATTTTTTATTGATCCTACACCTCTTACATTTAGAGGGATCTTTTAAGACATATTAATCCTTGTAGTGAAGAAACATATTTGAAAGTCAATAATTCTTTCAGTTGAACTTCTACTTCTCTTTTCTCCATTCAGTTCAGTTAAAACTAAATTTCATACACGCATGCTACGGCAATCCCCATCTAAATAAAACTGTGCAAGTGCAGCCAGCATGACCCATGCTGCGGCCACTCCTGATAACGGTGCAAGATGAAGTTCCCAGGGTAGCTATATCAAGTATTCTTGCCAAAAATGTTTAAACCAAATGAAATAAAGTCTTTAGATCTGACTTCCAGTTAGAAAATAGAGGAAGATAAGTTCATTGAGACTTCAAAGGTAAACTGGACAATCCAAAATGTGGGACATTTTACAAAACAACTGGTCCAGGATTTTCAAAAAGTCAAATCACGAGGAGGGAGTGGGATAGGGAAATTTTCTACATTAAAAGAAACTAAAAAAACAAACCCGTATGTATTGCATGAGACTTGATCGGATCATAAAACCACCATCTCAGAAAAAATAAAACCAATAAAACAAAAGC